TATACTACTTACTTGGAGAACCTTAAGGAGGGTTACAACAGATTCGTAAATATTATAATATTTTTTTAACATATTTTAAAATTCACCTCGACTAATAACTAATTGTAAGTATTTCTTCTAAAATGTTAAAAATTTTGGCTTTGCGAAATACCCATAGGTAATATTTTCCCCATTTGCGATCAAGCTGCTCACCAAATTGGAAGACTTTGGTCTTACGAAAATGCTTATGTAAAATACCAAAAACTTTTAATGTTTCTTCCTTCAATTTGGCATAATTTATTAATGTTCTATAATAAATGTTACCTTTATTTGTGACCAACTTGCAACATTAAATGTTCTTTTAATCGTATAATCGCATCCGATGCTCTCTGTTTCACTCACGAACACACTTACTCACTGAGTTACACTTGATGTTAGATTTTAAACGGGATCACGAACCAAATTTCCAATGACAACGATCGTTTGGAATGGAAGCATTTAAAGAAACAGTCAGTACTGAAGTCCAAATCATTTATTTCTAAACTATATTAAACCAAACATATGAAACATTAAGTAACTAACTTACTAAAGCTTCAATGGTCTTTATAATCACTAGGAGAGATATTCTGTTAACAATGCAAATATCGGAGTTTTCATATTTTCCGATTATTTTTAACAAATGTAATAAAATTTACATTACTTGAACCAATTTTGCGACACAAAAAATACCCAACGTTAAAATTTAAATTGTTGGGGACATCAATCATTTTAATTATTTACTTGCTTTTATCAAGATGATCAACAATCTTAAAGTGAGTATGTAGAAGCTCTTATAGCTTAAACAGAACGACCTGAGTAGCCGTCAAATAGGACTGCAGCTATTTTACGTAAATTTGAGAAAATATTAGTACCATCAACCCCTTAATTTTCGTAATAGCGAAAATTTAAAGCACAATAGCACCTGCAGAANCAAGGATGGTACTATAGAATGTCACCTCAAGGTAGGCCTAGTGGCGTCATCTCTTGGTTAGGCCGGAAACTTATCAATCCACCCTCGTATATTTCTGCCAATATATTCATTGCATGTTCCAAATATTAAGCAGATGCGCTAAAGCTGAGCAGTCGTCCATACATACAAATGCATTTTATGCGTGATTCGACATACAAATGCACTCCGTTCTATTCAGTTTTCAAATAAAAAGTTTGACACTTTTTATCTTTTGCGAAATTAGTTCGAAAAGTGAACCGCAAACAAGATCTCCGAGTTGTTCAAGAAAACTATCAAATTACTTTGCTTGAACAGAAGTTGTAAAACATTTGTCTTAAGGCTTATGGAAGTTTGAAACTAATTGCAACAAATTATAAGGAAAGGAACTTATTCGAAGTTGAAATTTTGTAGCAAACAAATAATATGTACTTATAAAAAAACCTTTTAGTCAATGTTCGCGAAAAAATGCTTAGATTACTTTTATGCTGAAGTTTGTGTAGTGGGTAACTGTTAGGTATTTTCTTACAGCGAAAACTTATTCATTTCTTTGTATTAGGTCGTAGTTTTGTATATTCAGTCTTGGTTTAAGTCTTACAATTACTCTTGGTCTTGATATTATAAGACTAATTTTGTTCATGACTATGTAGCACCTGAGTGCACGTATTTAGTTCGAAAAGAAGTTTTACTTCTAAATTGTCTTGTTCTGCAGAGTGCAGCGTTAGTGGCAGTAACGAATGTGTCTGAATACCTGGACGAGACAGCAATAAGAAGAATGGTTCTTCCAAAGACGAAAATGGTCTACGAGAAAAATCAAGGCGACCTAAAGATTGTCTCGAACGTTTTGTCGTGTGTCGAAAAAATACTGGAACGTCTCGATAAAAGCCAAATAATAGACGATGTTCTTCCTCTTTTGTACGACGTTAGACTTTCGGATCCTCAAATTATCCTTCGAGTAGTAAGTAAGTGTATTTGAGCAGGAGAACCAAAAAGCCCTAATACTTTTTTTTAAACGAAGTCACCGGGGTGGCTGTTTCAAAGAGATTATTATAAACTAATTTTTCGCACAAAAACACTCGAATATAGAACCATTAACTCGAGTGACGTAGTAGACGTAAAAATTTTGAGTTATGTAAAATTGGTTGTGAAATTTGATAGAATTGTCATCTGAAATACCTTACATATATATACTTAGAGTGATACTTAGTTTGTATAAAGAGTAACAGGCAGTTATAGAGCT